AAACCTAAATAGATAAAAATTTGAAAAAAAAAATTCACATAGCATTTTTCAATGTTAAAAATTATAATAATTAGTTAAGCAACGAATTTATAGTAAATATTTTTATAGTTTTTAAATTTTCTTCAGAAAAAATTTGAAGAAACTTTCATGTAAACTATTTAATACCTAAATAAGATATATAAAATATATACATTCACTGTGTTTCTTGCTAAATGCTATAGTGCGACTAATGTATGCACAGCAACGAATTAACCAAAAGTCATTAATGGACCATCATGCCTGACGCTGTCAGTCACTGAAAACCGCAACACTTCAAGGCTATACAAATACTAGACTAAAGAAACTTTAGTTTCTTTATACTATATTAGTCACTGAATTTTAACAAGTTAATATCGTAATTAGAGATGAAAGTATAAATCGCAAAACTATAAATTTATAAAGATTTCAATACTATACACATAGAAGCAAGTATTTTAATAGTTGTATTAAAATCATAAATCAAAATTTAGGAGTAATTAAAGGAAATGCTTTTTATTATTTCAAACTATATTATATACATTTTTCCAGTGTTTAACTTATCGCTTTGTGTAGGTATATCTATTAAAATTATTTATACGGAAACTAATCTAAGCTAACGAGTATATTGTAAACACTGGGTTCCTTGAATGAAAATAAACAGCCAATAGTTATGCTGCCACCACTGGAGAGAAAATAGGAAATGATAAAAAATGATAAATTATCCATCCTACTCATATGGTTTTTTTTCTGTTTGATTTGAAATAAAAACTTTGTTTTTTATATTCTACTCGCTCTGGTAGTATGTTTTATAAAAATACATTATTTGGTAGAATTTTTTAAAATTTGGGTTGTTAGTATACTTATAAGTAATATACTATACTATTAGTACACTATACTTAGTATACTACAATAATAACAAAAATCTAAAATTTTCCTAAAGAAGTATTTTGTAATTGAAATCTAAAAAGTAGAAAGTTACACCAAGAAATACTTTTTGAAGTGGCTCCTTTATTCTATTTTTCAATCTGAGAATAATTTTTGTAAAAGTCTGTAGTGCTTTAAAGAAGTATAGTTACATTTTAAAGTTTCAAGCCTAAGAAAATGTTTAATGTTCTATACTTTATGAAAACAAAAATTAACAAACTTAAAATAAAACCACTTCCTTTGAGAATATTTCCCAAATAAATTCTTTTGATAATTTAAAATCACTATTTTCAAGTCAAATGTTATTTAATAGGAATAAATTTAAACAGTAATTAAAGAATAATATTATTACGAAGTTGTTTATCGGTTAGTTTAATACAAATAACCCTAAACACATGTCGCTGACCCCACGCAATTTAATGCGATTTATTCATTCTACTGTTATATTTGACAGCTATTAGGCCAAAAGGATAACACTAGTAAAAATACAAATCACTATAAATCAATGAACAGTTATTATTAAAAGAAAAAAAACACGTTCTAACTAATTTTCACTGAGTTATTTGTTATTAGTATTATTCAATTTCATACTTGAATAAATTTCAAGTTTACTGACCCACGTCGGCTGTTAATAATTATTAATATTTAAAAGGTTTACTCACTACGTCTTTTTAATGTGATAATTTCAATTAAATTATTACTAAACTAAAAACATATCAAGATATAATGTAATGTTTAGTTTTTACATTTACCTAATATTAACAAATACTGTGCGAGTCATCTAATATTTAACAAAAAAAATTTAAAGTATGTTTATAAAAGCATTAATTCTAGAGAGAAGTTAAATTTACTACCTCAGTTACTATTACTACATTGACATTTTTATTGAGTCTATTATAATATCATTTAAGTATTTTTACTATCAATATTACTGTACAATAAAAAAAACAGTTTTATTAAATATGATTCGCTTGGTATTATTTTTATTTTATTAACTGTGAAATATTAGAAATGTGTAAAAAATATGTACATCATAATAAGTGTATACTGTATATTTATTTCTCTATAATCGATATTCAATGGATATTCATTTTGTGGTACCAAGGGCGTAGCTTGGAAAATGTGTATATGAAGACTTTTTTATAATTTAGGATAATAAACCTGATGGGAAGCTTCATGCGTTATTTCTCCCTCTCAACAAAAATTCAATTTATTTGTAGGGGCTACGAATATTTCAGCCCCCATACAAAACTATACTAATGTACGGTATTACGTTTATTGAATGTACAATATATTTGAAAGCAAGTGGTGGAATTTTCTAAAAGAAATTAATTAATGATATTTCAAATTTAAATTATAAGTATATAATTTGCTGTGTATTTTTAAAATATTAGTATATAACTTAAAGTATTAAATATAGATCTATAAATTTAAAATATTGTTTTATTATTTAAAAAAATCATGATGATTATAAATTTGATTAATTTTACCTTATTTATTATTATATATGATTTTCTTAAAACCTAAAAAAAACGCGATAATAATTTTTTTAAATAATTTTAAGAAAAAAAACAAAAGTAGATTAATATAGGTAAAATTTTCTCTTTTATAATCGAGTAAAACAAAAATATCTTACACAACATTTTATACAATTTTTTTTAGATTCAACGCGAAGCTAAAAAAGTATTAATTTTACTATGATGTGTTTTTTGTTCGTTACCACAAAATTTCAGTTTTTATTGTGCCGAATTTTTTCAATGATGCGTCAAAAGACCAAAAATCGTATCATCTAGTTGAAAACATAATCCTCGAAATTTTAAAATTTATTACTCATTCACCGTAACTAAAAGAATCCTCCAAAAATAACAATTTTAACAAAGACGTGTTTTATTGTTTTCAATTCTATAACATCAATATATCAAATGTTTAATATTATAAATATTTTTTCTATATAAAAGATACAGATTTATTTAAACGATAAATAGATCCTGGTCATAAATATTAACCCATACTAGCTCTAAATGAATATATAAAAATGATTCATTATTAAATAACAAAAAACATAAGTATTTTATTAGATACAATATTTTGATAATCTCATAACGTTTTTATTAAAATCACTTTTAAAATTAAAAAAAACTTAATTATAAAAAAAAATCAACTATTATAATTAAAAAAAACACACAATAAAAAAACCAATACCTTCTCAGCTTCGCATCGAAGCTAAAATGAATTATAACCTAGTAAAATATTATCTAATCTGTGAAGTATAACTTCTTTTTTTTGTTAGAACCCAGTTTTTTTTTAATACTGTTAAAAAATAAATGTATAGTTAATAATACGGTAAAAGCACCGTAAATGTTATTCAAAAACGAATTTCAAGATGGCTAAGACTGTAAAAAAATATTTGTAGATATGCAGTACACTGCAATATATTTTTCTCTAAGCGCCAGTCTAGGATAGGTAAATTAATCGAAATAATTAACTCAATTTAAGTTAAGTTAAATATGAACAATGTCGATAAATTGACAGTTAAAAGTTATTAAATTATAAATTCAACTAGCTAAGTTAAATATTTTTTTTTACTTAACTAGTTTTAAAAAAAAAATTGTTTCATATAAAATTAATTTTTCGGTTAAAATCTCTTAAAATCATTTTTTATTGATCGGTGAAGTAAGGGAAACTTAAAAATCAATTTTTAACTGAATAGGAAGAAAATACTAATGTAACAAAAATTTTTATTCGTTTTGTAAATTTTGGTGTAGCTTGCATTGTTTTATCTTTAAAACTAATTATTAAAAAAAAATCAGTTGAAACCACATATATTTTTGAAAAAATTCATAAAATTATATTTATTCTTGTATAAATATAATATTTGTGATAGGGTAAAATTCGATTTTTTTTAAATATAACTTTTACATATGCGGCGTATAAAGACATACATTTTTTATGAAATTTTGAACTTAGCTTAACTGTTATTTTAACTAATTAACTGAAAAAAGTAAAATTATTTCAATTGAAAATTAAATTAAGTTAAAAAGTTTTAAGAAAAATAATTAACTAGTTAATTGAAAAGTTAAAAAAAATTAACTTTTTAACTAGTTAATGCTCAACATTGACGCCAGTATATTCATTTACCATATCTGCAATAGAATTTAATATTAATATTAATACTTTAACAGTTTTTATTTATTTACTTATTAAAAACTTTAAAAAATAAAATCATTCAAAATAAATACTTGATCGGAAATAATTATTTATTTTTGTAATAGGTTCTATTTTTCTTTAGCACATTTGTAAAAATAATGTACAGCTAATTAAACAAACGAAAAATGACTCTTAATTACGGTGAAAAAAATAATTAAAAAAGTTTTCATTTCCGAGGTACCATTCCTACCTATCCTATATCATCCCAACAGGATTAACATAATCCTACACTCTGTTTCATCCATTTACGTATCGTCTATTAATCTCTTACAGAACATTTGCCAGGTTTCACATCTTCCTTTAGTAAATTAAAGGATATATCCGGTGGGTGGCTTTTTTGACCAACCATGGAATTGTCGGTTTGCCTTTGTTAACATTTTTGTACTTTTTTTTTTATATTCCACTAAAAAAATATGTTTTGATTCACGGTTAACCCTTTTAAAAGAATAACAAATTATCATCATTAATATAATCGTAAGGATTGTAAAACAAGTTAAATGAAATTTTTAGATTATACAATGACTTATTAATTACATATTTTATCGAAAGTAGCTTATATAATTACAAAAAAAAAAAAATTTAGACTAAATTAAAAAATTATCAGTTTTTTATTTTTATACAAAATAAATTAAATCATGATTTCATATGATAAATTGTATAATTTGTTCTTAAAAAGAAGAAATATTCTCTCAAAAATATTATTATGTATAAGTACGAATAGATAGAAGTTTTTTATAATTTGTATAAGCTGTCTTGAATATATTTTTGTTTAATTATCATAACTTTATTATATTAGCAGATAAATAATCAAATGTTTCGTGATAATAATATTCTCTAAAAATGTTTTTCAGACTTTTAATTTAAATGCACAAACTGGAGAATCATCTGCGTGTGCTACAGCATTATTGTGTGGTGTTAAGGCTAATTTTGAAACAGTTGGATTAGATGGCAAAGGAAAATTTGAAAACTGTTATTCCAGTTTTGTATCTAGAGTAGATTCTTTAGCAGACTGGGCACAGCAAGAGGGTAAATATATTTTTTCTTATTCTTTATTATCTCGGTATTCCATTTCAAAAAAGATTAGAATAAACCAGTAAAGTATTTTTTTATGTGAAAACTTGAGTATAAATATGTGTTTAATATACAGGGTGTTCAGTAAGTCAGGAAACGGGTTTCTATTGTTCTCATTGTTACAAACAATGAGAACAATAGAAACCCGTTTTCTGACTTACTGAACACCCTGTATATAACATAGAATAGTTTGTTTAAATTTTTATTAAAATTTGACTATAAAAAGTTAAAAAAACCAAAATTAACCCGATAAATCATATCAATTAATTTTAGGTCATAAATTTTATATGGTCATATTTTTAATTTAGTTTAGGTTAAAAGCGTTATCTCATAATACTTTAAATTCCTACAATTGATCATCACCTAACAAATTCTTGACAAAAATGATATATATATAATCTATATGTATAATATACTATACAATGTATATTTAGTGTATTATTTAAAAAGAAAGATTGTATATACACAGTGTTGAATTCAACAATTTTATCTAAGGAGCTCATAATGTCATAAAATCGCTGTAAAGATAAATTTATTAACAATAATAAATGTCTTATGTTTAAAAAGTCACTAAAACGTTCTATCAAAATACTGAGTAGATTCAATGTCTCTAAGTTATACATGAGTTCAACGTTGTACATAAACATAAATTTCCCTCTAAAAAAAACTTTTTCATTATATTCGAGAAAAATTTTTTGGATTAACGGTAGTAATAAAATACCTCAAAAATTTAATTGTTAAAAATTATAATTATAATTCTAAAGCTTATATCCATAAATTACAAAAATTTTAATAAAGTTTTTTATTAATACTAAATTAACATTACTAAATTGTATAACAAATACACACATTAACCATAAACAATAAAGAATCGATAATTTAAAACTTATTACTGTATACTCTTTAAATTATATAAAATAAATATATTTATTAATTATTAAAAATGTTACCATAGATTTTACACATTAAATCTATATGATTACATAAATTACAACAGTGATAACAGTGTCCCTATAAACAGTGCCGCCACTGTTATATTGATTTATAAAGTTTTAATAATTTATACAGAGAAATATGATATGAACCAAAATATTACGAATGAATTTTGTGAAATAGGTTTTTTTTACACTTCTAATGTAATGTTGACTTACACAAGACGCTAACGAAATTTTTAATTTGTTTTTGATCTCCTGAAAATTACTAAACTTGAAATGTTAGCTTATGGAAAATAGCCATGTCGTTGATTTCTAGTCCAATAACACTTAACCAATATTATTAAAAATAATTTTACATTTTATAACATAATTTTTCTTTTTTATTTCTTAACATTTTTTGTGATCCAATTTTATTTCGATACATTTTAACTTAGTTTTCATCGAAAAAAGTTGCGAAGAAAGTTTTTCCAATTAAGTTTGTTAACAAAGTTTACATTTTTTTGAACATTGTGCGTATTTTAAGCTATTTTTACTATGAAAACAAGTTACAAAGTACAAATTCAGTGACTTATTAGCCATTATCTTATTAATTCATTACTACTTATATTTCTCCGGAAGTCTATTTGAATTTTTATTATTATATATATTATACTCTTTATTATTTTAGATAATAATAAAAAAACAAAATTTGTTTAGCATAACAAATAAACTTAATAAATGAACTATCCTGACGTGGTAGCATGTAAATGATCATTCGACAATTACTAAACCCTTTCCATTTCATGATAAGTTATATTCAACACATTTCGAACACATAAGGTGGACTATACAAATATACATAATAATGAAAGTTTGTAATTTGTCCAAAACCACATATGAGGCGTTTACTGTAACGGGTCCAATTTTGAACTGTCGCAGTTATTAATTATTACAATTACTATTGATAGTTGTTTCAGTATTTAAAATCTATTTATAAATAAATGAACAATACTGTTGAACATTAGCTAAGTAAAATTTGTATATAGAGACGTCTTTTATCGATTTTTTATTTAACATTTAATAAATAATTTAGTGAAAAATTGATTTGAGAGAAAGAAAATATGTTATTTGTGAATCCGATAAGATATTTAACAGTGAAACAATTGAGTAAAAAATTAAAATCAATCAAGGCTACTGTAAAATAAAAAATACAAAAATTTCAATAAAAATTACACTTTTATTTTCAAATATTATTATGAAAATATCTTAGTATACAATGGAATTTTATTTTGCCAATTAATATATTTATTAATTACATATATTAGCCTGAATTTTAAATATAACTAACATACAAACGCCAGTTTAATAATTGAAGATATATTATTACAAATAAATTAATCAATTTCCCAGTTTGCTTACAACGAAGTTAGAATTAATTTTGCTCTATCAAAAATGCATATGATACGCTCCTTTAATATTGCAATATCGAATTAACATTTAACGTTTTAAATTTTATTGAATTAACACATCACCTTCTATGTTGTTATGGTAAATAATTTCTGGTTTTGTTAATTTATTTAAATGTTTGTAATGTTGCTATCATAATACAATAAAATTTTCTAAGAAAGTCTCATAATTAAGGATAACCTTATAATAAGTATCATATATCATTTTTTGTGAATAATATTAAGTCAAACTTTATAGAAATTTCAAAGAAAACTTTGTTTATAGTAAAATTTAATATAAATTATTTATAAAAAGCTTTACATGCTTAACAGGTAAAAACTTTTACAACGTTCTAGACCGACAAAAAAATAAAAAATCCATTTTTCTTGTTAAAAAAACTCATTTTTAAATTACTTAGAGAAAAATGTACGTCACAACACGAAAAATATTAACGTCATCTAAGTTCCCCAAGCATCATCTAATCTATACTTTATATAAATATTATAAATTCACTAGTTAACCTTGTTCATCAAAATCTGTTTATATTAAGATAATACGCTAATTCTAATTTACCTTAAGGAAGGATATTATCATAAAAAGTTTGACTTAAATTTAATTATTTACATTTATCTAGAAACCTGTTTCTTGTAATAAATTCTTTTTAATTAAAATTTACACCAAATTAAATGAGCATCAATAATTAATGAATATTAAGTTGCAATGTAGTAAAATAAATTATACTATGGTTAAACTAATAAAAAGAAATACGAAAAATTACCTAAAATTACATTATACTGATACTTATAACCATGGACTGAAAATGAAATGAAAAGGGCGGGTTTAAATTTAAAACCCTTTACATGTACGGATTTAATCTTGACTAAAACCCATTTAAATTAATAAAAAAAAATAATAAGTTTTTAAGGTTTCTTGAAGACTTTTTTTTTTAATTTAAAATAAAGTTTAAAATTAAAGATATATTTGAAAGTATATGTTTAGCGTTAATGATTGTAAAAACAAGATGTCAAAAATATTTTACTCGAAAAATGACAAAAAATTCTAAAAATATTGCATATACATATTTTGGAAACAATGTTATCATCAACAGCTCTAAATGCATACTGACACACCAATCGAAAAATACTACCTTAACGAAGAGAACCACCAGATCTAATTGACAACTCATATAACCTTTGATCCAATAATCATTTCGTTTAAATATATTTTTTTAATAATTATTGTCTCCTTAGACTATGTTTTAAACATATTCTTTATTATTTATTTTAAGAAAGGGAGAAGATAAGAAATTATTTTATAAATTTTAATATATCCTTATTTTAGAACTTAAAAAAAAAAAAAGGTTTCTTATTTTTATCTTTCTTATTATTGATAATTAATAAAAAATTATGTTTAAAATATATTCTAAGAAATATAAAACATAGTTTAACAATTATATGAGTTGTTAGTTAGATCTGGTTCACTCTGTATACCCCTAAGTATGTTTACACAGAATTTCATATAGAATTGTCGGTATTCATAAATGATGACATCGACGTCAAATACATTACATGAATTTGAATTATTGTTGTAGTGGCGACATAAAGTTTCTTTATGGATATTCTTTTGGTTCGAATCGACACGTCACGACGATGAAAATATCCATGTGCGTATTTTTAGATAATAATGCATAGGAAATTACATTGTACAAAATGCATATTATTTGTCAATTTGAATTCTTGCAACACACGTATAATGTGATTTTTGAAATCCTTGTTTTTTCCCCTCGATTAATGCACTATCATATTCTGCACACATCGGTGTCATAATATATTTGTTTACAATATATAAGAAATTCATCGAAATTATAATGAAATAAATCTTGTTTAAATAAAAAAAATATAACCTATTTTATGCTCCATTTTTAAAATTTTAAAAATACGTAGTCAGGCTACTTATGTTTAATTTGCTATTCAGAACATCGATGTTGAAAAATTTTAACAAAAGGAACTAATTCTAGAATATTTACAATAATTTTATTAAAAAAAGTAAATGTATATTCGAATTAACAAAATTAACTAGATTTTTGTAATAACGTACACAAATCTATATCATAGAAAATTAGTGTGATAATTGAAGGTTTATACAATTATCAAATATGTCCACTTTTACCGAAGACAAAAAGAATGTTTGTTCTACAATAAAAACCCAGCTAAAAATATGAATTACTTTTTTGGTAAATCCATCGAAAATTGTCGGATAAAACAGTATAGTATTTAAAGAGTTCTACTGAACAAATAAAAATGAGAATTTTCAAAATCAGTGGACGTAACTGGTTATGGTATTAACGTGATCATTTGACCGTAAATGTCACTCTTGAATTAAAGACGTACGATTTTCAAAAAATTTTCTGAATGAAAGAACTCGGCGACGTTATTCAAGGAAATTATTCGTGAGATGAGAAAAAGTCTACGCGCGTAATTTTTAATAGGATATAATTTTTCTATGTGCATCTCAATTTCGTTTAAATTTGATGTTATTTGTTGTAGTTTTTACTAATAACACAGCATTTAAAGATTGTTTTTTAATGATTAAGTTTTCTTTCGTCTATCTGTTGTTTAGAATAATAATTAGTCGATTATAGTAAAGTATAATTGTTAATACACATAATATTTTGTAGTAATATTATTATTTTTTTAATTATTATTTAATTTACAAGTGGGACTAATTTTCTGGTAAACTGCTTTAGGAATTATATTTTTTCTACACAAAAAATTGTGCCCGGTATAGCCGAGTACATTTATCGAAATCAGTGGCCTGACTCTAAGGACAGCTCTGCAGGGCACTGGGTCTTGGGCAAAACTTAATATGTAAAGATTAGTTCACACACACCCTCATATTAATAAATTATATCAAATTAATACTATTAATATAATTATTAAAAATCATATTATTATTAATTCAATTACGAGTATCGAAAAAAATTTTTCTGATAACAAAATTAAATAGAATGTTCAGTAAATAAGGAAACGAGTCTCTATTGTTTTCATTGATCTTTTTAAATTCAAAATTTTTCATGAATTACAATTTTTCAAAATTTGACCTTTCTATGTAGTTTTATTATTTATCATACAATATTTTTATTTTATTGAATAAATATTTAAATATTATGAAAGGAAAGAATAATTATTAAGTTAATATAAATCAATATTTGTGGCGCTGTGTAGTGTTGTCAACTAAAACCGGTTTAATGTTATCACATTTATTATTTTGTAAGAGATAGCGTTAGTATGAATTTAATGGAAATTATCTATAAATTATACTAAAAAGTTAAGTTTAAATATAATAAAATGAAATCTCTGCTTAATAATTTTAATTAATATCAAGATAATACCTGTAGGGAATATTGGGGTAGATTTGAATTGATTAAATAAAACTAGTTGTAGTGATAAATTAAGTTGACGTAAAAAAAGATATCAAATGTTCGTTACTGTATAACAAAAATTCTGTATTTACGTGATAGAATAAGATAGAAACATATAAGAAGGAGTATAGGTGTAGCATCAATCGCGAATAAGGTGAGAGAAAATAGACTTAGATTTAATCATGTTATGAGAATAAAATAGTCAGAAACTGTAAGAACAGTTATAGAATTGAATGTTGAAGGAAGAAGAGGTAAAGGTGAACCAAAAATACCCAGCACAGTGGGAACGTAGCATAATTGAGTTCAGTATAGATGATATCTGACAGTTATATCTGATAGTTAAAATCACTATCATAAAAAATGCTTCGATGCAAATCTGTAGATAGTGTTTAATTTTTAAAAAATGGTAGATTATTCTAAAAGTAGCATTATCTCTTATTTCCTTATTTATATCCTGATTACAAGTTTTATGATTTATAAGTTTAATATATAAATAAATAATTATTATAGTAATTAAATATAGTATGAAGTTGATATTTAATAATTTAATATTGTAGTGTTTTACAGAAATCCTATTTTTTTTATTAATTCTGATGTCTATTTCACTATGAAAACAAAATAAAGTTCGACATTTTTTTTTCAACATATTTAAGTATCTTACATAATCTTTAATTTAAGATATATATAAAAGTGTCAGTAAATCCGGAACACTTTCAAAAATTAAGTTGAAAAAGTTCTACTGTCTATACGTATTTTTAAGTTTTTAACCACCCCTACATAAATGAAAATGGTCCGATTTAAAAAAAAACTATGTCGAATGAAAAAAGTATATAAATAGTATATATCATAAAAAATTGTACTGATCCCTACATTTTTCAAAAAGTTATAGAAATATAAAGTTAAAAATATAAAATTGAGAATTTTAACACGAAAATAGCATATGGTTGTCATTTTTACCATGAAGACAACATAAAGTCTGAATTTTTTTTTTTCATAATAAAGTACATTACATTAGCTTTAATTTAAGATATATATAAAAGTGTCAGTATTATTGGAAAACTTTCAAAAGTTAAATTTTTGTGAAAAAGTTGTTATTTTGAATACCCCTTTGTGGGTAGGTAACAAATCAAATTTATAAATAAAATATACAAAATGATAAGTAAATACCTCATGAATCTATAAAGAAAAAATTATATTGATTTGGTCATTTTTAAAAATGTTTTTTTTTAACAATAAAATATATTTCTATAAATTGAAACCTTTATATTAGGGACGTAAAAATATTATACATTTATACTTATAATAAGGTCGATTAACTACCCCATTTTATTATAATATAGAAGTATAATTTTATTGTAATAAACTAACTATTATTTATTACTATAGTTTAAAAAAAAATTTAAATGAGAAATGTTTTTTTACAATTTTATTTCATTTAAAACTTTTACTTCTATCTCAGTAATTTATATTATAAAGAATAACAATTTAATTATTAATAATTACTTTCGTCATTAAAGTAATAAATTTAAATCTTATATTAGTACTTTAATTAGTCACATCAAAGGATTTATAGAAGGTAAGTAGTAAAATCTGAGATACTTACGCAACCAAAAGCTCTATAATAACATTTTAAGGTATACATAAAGTCTATTTATTACTGGTACTTAAAAATGGCCGAGGCAAGATAAATGCACTGGGCTTTGAGCACGTTCTTTTTTGCTTCAAGAGTCATAGTATCTTACTATTCATAGTTATATATGTTATACCTATAAACCAATGATATATTTTTTCCAGTAATGTTATGATACAAAATTAGAGGTGGATCTAGGTAAAACTAAGCAAAATTCGATTTTTTTAATATTAATACATATAATTGTAGTTTTAATTAAATTTTTTTTTTTTTTTTTGATAAAAATAGCTATGTATAATTCTATTATTATTATTAGCGACTCGAATGTCATTAATTAGGATTTTTTTTCGTGAATTTCAAGTTATCAATTTAAAAAAAAATTGATTATGCTCTGACCAAATATTTAAAATCTGAACATAACAATTTTATCAGTTTATTTCTACAGTGATACTAACTATAGTTAGTTCATAACACTTATTAAAAATATCTAATAAAGCTTTTTTAAGAGTTATTTATATTATACGGTAATTTATTATTACACATTATTGTGTGAAAAACACTTAAATGAACCCCATCTCATTTCTAATAGTAATTTTATAAAACACATTTTTAATTAGAGGAATGTAGGACAAAACGTACACACTATAAGGTTTAATCGTCATAACTTATTGTATAATACAGTCAGAGTGAAAAAATTAACAACATTTAACCACAAATCTTATGCAGTTTAAATGATTAAAATTCTATTTTTAAGAATTAACGTAATAATAAATTATGAATTTTTTTAAAACTTATTCGTTTTGCCCCAATATGAAGCAAAATAAAATTAGAATGTAAAATACCACACTTATACTTTAATTATTCAATTTAATATAACTTATGTTACTAAAAATATTAAAAATAAATAATATTCAAATTCTTTAAAATTAAAAACAATTTTTATAGTGAGATAAAATTATAATCTATTTATAATTAAAATTCAGCAGAATTATTAGTCTTTAATGTAAATTTTAACATAGTATTGAGTACTATTCATTACTATAATTAATGATTTTTTAAAATAGTTAAACTACCCTTGAAGTCAATAATATTTCTATTTTAAATCTAATTTATTATTTGATAAAACTTGTAATTCTGATAACAGCAATTCTTAATCATTGGGGGAATATAAGTTATTTGATAATAATAAAAGAGATAATAATTTAAATGGGAAATATGAATTTTTATTTAAAAACATACATATAATAAAATATATTTAACACATTCTGATTTATATTTATAATTAGATATTTTTTTAAGCATAATTTTAATTTCATCTTAAATCTCAAAATACTATTATTAAATAAATAAGTTTATAATTACGCCTATAATGCAATAAAAAATTACATGAATATTCACTTAATTAGTTAGTATATATAATATATGCGATAAAAGTATCTAATTGTAAATTATAAAATAATTTTTACGTAGTTAAATTCAGTATACATTCTTATTTCTACCATTTAAATAGTTTTATTCAAATATCCAAAATAAAGTGAATAACTTAAGTTATTAATAGTAAACACTATTTGGATATTTAAGTTAAATGTTAAAAACTATAATTATATTTTCTTTTTGATAATTTATTAATTTCGATTGGCATTCAAGGAATTAAGAAGAACTTGATTTTAAAATCATTAAAAATATCTGTCAAATTTTAAATTGCTTATTATTCGTCACATCAGATGGCAAATGAATGTTATTGTGGTTATTTTAAATTGATGATCATGAATAAAAAATTTTCTCCGAAATAAAAATAATATCTTTTCTTTGTTAAACAAACATTAGAAGTTTACAAAATGTGTTTACACCAGATATGCACACAAAATCATTGGGATCAATTGTAGCATGTTATTGATTTTCTTGTAAATCTTGTTATTTTAAAAATGTATATTTTCCTAAGATATGCCATTTGTGAGTTTTCTTTTATAACTGAATAGAAAAAATGTGTAAATAAGATGAAAAACTGATTTAAACTTGAATTTTCATATTATACAGTTGTTTGATAAGTCGGTGAGAATAATTTTTAAACTAAAAATATTGTTATGAAAGTACACCATTTTAGGCGTACAAGAGTTTTGTATAAAATTCGATGATATAATATTTAAAATTTGTCTCTTTTAGGTAAATCTACTGGAATAGTGACCAATACACGCATTACTCATGCTACACCATCTGCGTTGTATGCCCATTCGCCCAGTCGATATTGGGAAGATGATGGTAAGGTGCCTATACCTTCACGAAAGTCATGTAAAGATATTGCTCGTCAACTAGTTGAAGATGACCCCGGGCGTCATATAAATGTAAGAAATAGAGAAATATAGATGAAAATTAATAAATAAAATTTATAACATAAGTTAAAAACTATATACATAATTACTGTGATAAATACCCACAATTACAACAAAATACTATTAATACAATTCTTTAGATTTATTTGATTAATTCCGTTGTATATTTGCTAGTATTAATACGAAATAATTTAAAATATATCTATACTTTTTTTATGAAAACCTCTCCATACGCACTATAGAATGTTAAAGTTTTTAAATTAAAAAATACTGTTCTCGTACTATAAAAAGGATGTATTCCTGTATATACGTATACACTCTGTTTACAATGTTAGATTTATTGACTATACGTGTACAATAGTATGAGTTTGGTGGTTCAGCTAATGATAAATAGCTCGCATTTATTATATAGAGAAAATATTGCACAACTCACTCATAAAAAAAAAAACGTATGAAAATATACTCAATCAAATTTTATTAAAGGTAACGGATTTTTATGATATTGTTATACCTATGAATATTTTTAAAGTCAAACAATAAAATAAAATGAAAATTTGGGAAAGTAATGATTTTTATTATACCCAAAGCTGATTACTATTGATATATTTATTTAATAATATTAAATTAGCTTCTATAAATCAGTTCAAAACCCTAGTTTTTAGTGGTAAATTTGTTACCATCAAATCTTGTTTTCTACCATAGGGCGTTTGTAAAATCATTTCCAATATTTGACCAATTAATCTTTTTTCTATGGTATTAACTTGTCAGTAATTAATAAAAAAAGGTCGTATATTATAAAGTGAAGGGTATTTCAAATTTTTTTTTGCTTTATTAACCAAAACTATTAACTATATTAAATTTTCTACTGAAATAAATATTTGAAAACTATTTTTCAGCGTCTCCACTTATTTTAAAAGTTACTTTATTGCTTGCTCATGAATGAGCTCCCTAATATCTAAAAATATATACAATTTACGTTCATAATTACCTTAATACGATACTATATTCAATCAATTTTAATGAAATTTTTCTAAATATTAACGATTTCATTATAATTCAATTAATTGTGCTGATAAAATTTTTTTTTTAACTTTTTTCAACAAAAAATTTAATTAAATACTGGAAAAAAATTGATTTAAAACGTACAAAAATCAGATATGTTGATTGCCGTTATACTTTATGTTCGTTGAATTCATTTTTTGGTTCATTAGATTTATGAAGTATAAGTTTTGGAATATTTATAAATTATACGAATACGATTTACTGAATATGTTATATTTTACGTAGTAAAGCATAACACACTTGATGCATTTTAAACGTTGTATAAACAATTGTGGGTACAACGGGTGAACGCATTTTAAAATATGTACCAGGTTTGTGTTCTGAAACTATTTTGCATTTTACTTAAATTCGCATCTACAATATGTAAACAAAGTTACTTCAACGAATTCGCGTAATTATAAATTTTATATTGACACGATAGATATATATGAGCCACTGTTTTAAAATTGTGATACAAACTTCATTGGGTACTTTTTGTTTACTTTAATATAGCTAATATTATTTTAACTCCCAAAGTAAAAATAATTAATTAAAAAGACCGCATTTGTATGTCATATATCATATATGTTAAGTATTCAAACATAAAGCATTTGTACTTATCACAATTAGATTGAACATAATTGTAGAAGAAATTTTTAATACAAACTCAATGCTGAATTCAACAACAATAAAATTATATATATAGTTAATTATATTAAAAGATTAACTAAAAATAAAAAATATTGTTAAATTTTAGTATTATTATTCTTTCAAGTATTATGGATACATAATATGTATATTATATATGTATTACATATAGTATAAGATAAATAAATACACGTAACAAAATTTTAAATGCCATTCAAATTTAATTTAGTTTCATTATTACAATTTCATCAATTGGTCAAAATAAGAAATTTTTAGACATAATCAAAAACACACGTACAAATTTTTTTTCTAGTTTATTGAAAACATCAATTGAAATAAATATTATATATTGATGCACAAAAATGTATTATTTTGCTTATATTTATTTTTACCTTGCCGAAATACTTGCCATTTAATGGGAACTAATTAATTAAAATTTATTTATTTAACCCACAAAATGTTTATTATATTTACATATTTTTCTCTTATAATTTCTAGATACTCATAAGTCAAAGTATATTAATTTTTCAATACTATTAAAAATGAATGCCTTCAAAAACAGTTTGGAAATTTTTAATTGTAACTTTATGATTAAGTTAAAACTCAATATAACATTTTATAATAATGCTAAATCAATTATGATAATGTACTAGCTTGTATTCAGAACCAAATAACTATTTTTTGTATGGAATTGTACAACTTGAGAACTTATTAAATGTACTATACATTATTAGTGATTCATTTCTCAATATTAAATGGCAATTCCTTTAAATTAGTGAGATTGTATTCAGTGAAAAAACTTATTTTTCGGTGATATACATAGATGTATACTTAAAGATCACTTACTTACCTCAATTTATGTTCAAAAATTGTATAAGTAAAGACAATTTTTTTTTTTTGATATATAAATATGATCATTAGATCTGAGGAAAATAATATGTTTTGTATGCATTTTTAAAGATTTTATACTATTCTACTAATAACGTTTTTTATACTATATATTGTTTCAAATTGAAAAAAGGTGTTTAATTTTACTTAATTGACGCCAACAACATAAATTTTATAAAAGTACATAATATGTATTACAAATATGTACAAGCAATAAAAATCTATTTATTTTTATTTTTTATTAATTTAATAATTGAAAAATGTTGAAGCTTTACATACCTTTAACCTAAGCCGTAAATCTAAAAGTCTTTACTAGTATGTGTAATTATAAAGGTACATACAAATGGTTTTCTGTATTATGTGTTTTTCACTTGCTGGACAAGTTGTCAGCACAAACAAATGAGACCTTTCTTATGTCTTCCTGCGAGTCAGAATACCAAAAATAGGTGACCGACATTCTTTTTTCTCACGTGCAATTACTCGTTAAAAATTGATTTTAATTACTTTTTGCTCAAATAATAACTTAACTTATTTAAAACATATATAAACTCTAGCTATCATAAACCATCTAGAAAATTAATTTTTCTAAAAGAAAAATTATTGTATTTAATAAATAAATATATAATAACCATTCCTTTTAAAATAAAAAGTTAACAATTTGTCATGCATATTATTAAAACATTTTAAATAATTTTTGTAGATCTAAATCAAAAATATAAAAGTAATAATTATATACTATTATTAAAATATTAAACAAAAGTAAAATTGAAATCATTTTGAAAGTTAAAATTAATAAATATTTATTAAACATATTAATAAAGGTATTAAAAACATCTTTAAAATATTACATAATGTCCTTATATTTATTCAAATCACAACACAAGTATGGAATTAAATCGAATCTATATTTGTGTTCAGCTTTAATGGTTTTACGTGATTTTTACCATCGAATATAATTTTCATAATACTTTTATCCTTTAACTCTTTTTACAAACTAAAATCAATGTGTAGTTTATCCTTAAAATATACAAGATATTCTCTATATGACATTTACTGTATAATTTTACAAAAAATTATGCAAAAATTTGGAATAATTATTTATTTTTTACCATTATTTTAGTGTCTTTTTTTAAACTATTAATTTAATAGATAATATAAAAGGATATATTTATGTAACGCAAATATATGTTCTATTATTTTTAAGAGTTAATAATCAAAATAATATTGTTTTTGATAATTTTTCTTATATCTAGTAAATTAGATCATCTACAACATCGAGTTTTTTACTAAATATTAAAAAAATAATTAAAGAAAAGAAAAATATTATTATATACATAAAAATATTAGGTCTCCTTTGTAACCTCAAATAAACTTAAACTTTAAACTAAAATAAAACGCACATGAAGTAAAACTATATCAATACCTTCTAAGCTTTGCATTAAGTCGCGAATTTTTATTGAAATTTCGTGAATTTTGGCTAAAATATAAATGATTCATATATTAAGAACTTTATTTTAAAATAGGTTAAAAAAAGTTAGATTTTCCAAAAATTGAGTTGAAAAAATAATTTTTTACATATGTGGATAGTCATTTTTAAAATCTTCCTGTACTAAGGTTTTCATTGTATTTTCATAAAAAGCATCCTAAAAAAACTTATTGTGTTTAGTATATTTTATTAAAATTTTATATGGGTGAATGTTTTAAAAAAAAAATTAATTCTCTAATTTTTAATTTTTTTTTTTGAAATTGCAATAACCTTACAAACTTCTAGAAAAATATGATATAGATCAACTTACTAATTACGATATACATTTTTTTAAAAACCTATATCAATTTGGTTCCTAGCTTTGTTTGTATTAACTATACAAAAATATTACTAATATATTATTTAAACATGAATTTTATTAAATAACTACTTGCCAACATAACCACCTGTTACACAGTTCCTACTTAAAATAGAGTTATAAAAAGTTTGGTCTATTTATGATTTTGTATTATTGTTCGACAATTTTTCGTTAAGTTTCAAAGTTAAAATTATAATTTCAAGTTTTGTTGTAATAAAGAATTGGCAATTGTGCCAAACTTTTCAGTACTAAGATGTGAATTAAAAACGTGACCTGTCTAACCGATTCGTATAAACAATTGAAAACACTCAAAAGTCCTGGGTCCTCAGTTTATAAGTATTTTTATTCACCAATCGTTCTTGAGCACAGTTCACAAGTCGTTCTGATTACTTTTGTATAAATCGGTGAACCAGCTGCATAGCATACCACCGGTAAAAAGACCTCATGGTGTTGTAGGTTATATTCGAATGTGGTACAAATATAAATGAATTGAATGTCAGTAGAGTCATATTAACCGTTTAGGTACAAAACGATGTTAACGTACATGAGTAAACTAGCCCTTAAGCATCATACTGTAAGCTACAAAACTGGGCAGGTTCTGCTAATTTATGTACAAACAACAAAAGGACAAGCTCCATTTCTCGTTTCAATAAAACTTAACAATAGGACAATAGCTAATATAACATACACAGAAGCACACAATTTGTCTGTTGAAACTGTGCGAAATAAACAACAAATGCGCACTACAATCATGTCAATAGACAAAATTTACAGGCTCGAGCTAACATTGTTGAGCACAAATAAAAAAAAACTAGGAAACATTTTTAACATGTTTTACCCAAAATATATTTTTGTATTTGTGGAATATCCATTAAACGAGTGTTGACATTGAAGAGCACTGAGCCATTTCTCGGGTACCTCGGTTATTGGACCGTTAACAAAAATGAACATAACATGATTAATAATACAACGAACAAAACCATTTATTGTTTAAACAGTAAACAGAGTTCTTCGCATTTTACAATAAATCTGTCACGTGTACAATAACTAAACAGCTAATAATGACCTCCTCTAAAATAAAATAATAAAATAAATTTGGAATGTAATAAAAGATAATGCATAATAGAAGCTTATCAAATTACAATATTTCTGAAAAATGTTTAAATTATGTATTATTGAAATGATTTTACTAGCTTTACAATATCACTTAATGCATAATTTTAAAAACAATTAACTAATTAAAAAAATAATTTGATTTATGTTTATAATAAGTCATATTTAAACAGAAATAAATCGATGACAAAAATTATTATTTAATTATTATTTATTTATTATTAAATTATTCAATTATTTTAAGGAAAATTTTATTTGTATATTTTCTAATCGATGGATTATTTCAAAATTCTGTGCATTTATAAATATTTGTCAATTAGGGTCTTGTTTTCAAAAAATTCAGAAACCACATGGGAAAAATGATTAAAGACAAAAAAAAACCTTATTAATGTAAATAAGTTATTTTTAAAAATTAAATTGAGGAAAGTTAAATACACGTGGGATTTAATGTATTTGGAGCGGAAAAGTTTTCTAACAACGAAATTATTCCATTGTGTGGAAAAGACCTTTAACTATTGATGATTTTTCCAAGCCAAAGAAATCGATAAGGTTCCGAACAAATGAGCAACGTTTTTAATGGCAATGTCTGTCGCTAATATGTTGCTAAAGTTTACACCTCCGTTTAATAGCAAAGATAATCGTTGAAATAGCTATTCTTTGGAAACTGTTAGCACTATACTTTCGGTGTATTGCATTCGATTAAAATGGGAACGTATAATCCACGTTACAAGTTTACGTGATTGATTGTAATAAAATAAAAAAAAAAACGAAAGCGTTAAATGTTTACACAATTTAACTGCAATACATCGTTTTTCTTATTTATTCAATTTATTTATAAATTGTCAAAGCCTGTTCTGACAAATTCTATAACTTTTGATCCACAGTTTTAGACTACATTAAAAGCATATATTTTATTGTAATATCTTTGATAACAAATTTTTTTTTTCGTAATTTTAAAAATAACTATATATTAAAATCTACGTTTGATGGGTCTATAATAATTTTAGGATAAATATTTTTTGATGTACAAGTTAATGTACAATATACAGAGTGATTAAAATCTGGTAAGACACTCATTTTCTCAGAAAATATTGAGAATTTTAAATTTTATTATAGAGAAAAAATATCAAGTTCAAAAAAGTCTACAATAATATGTAGTCAAACCATTATTTTTTTCGTCCCTTCAAGGATAAAAACCCTTATTTATAATTTTCTTAAATAGAAACCCTTATTTTAAATTTTATAATATGATAGAAAAAAAAAATACAAACAATTTTGTTCTTATAATTTTTTTTATCCGATAACCGTTCGTCCGTTACAGCTTGTTAAAGTTAAGTGATTTTAGGCCAAATTTCTATTGTCATTTTACTGTATTAAATACAGAAGTCATTATTTTTATTTGCTGTTGCATAAGCCAAATTTTATTGATCAAGTTATGACAGGTAAATTAGCTATAAAAATGTACTAAGCACTAAATGAGTGATACGATAATAGATTCAAACTGGGTTTTGGGTGTATTATTAATAGCTAAGTCTATGGTTTTGTAAGACTGAAGGATCTAACAAAAATAACGGTTGCACTGCCACCAATATTATGAAACGAAATAAATGACAATATTTTTTCTGGAAGTCAAAATCTTTAAAGAATTATAAAACGTAAACGGTTGTTGTTCGGATAAAAAAAAGTATAAGAACAAAATTGTTTGTAATTTTTTTTTTCTATCATATTATCAAATCAAAAATAATGGTTCCCATATAAAAAAAATTATAAATAAACATTTGTATCCCTGAAGGGATGAAAAAAAATTTATTTAACTTCATTTTATTGTAGAGATTTACAAACTTAATAATATTTCTTTTTACAAAAATTTTAAATTCTCTATAGTTTCTGTATATATAGTTAAAACGGGCGTATTGCACGTACGCTATGGTGTAACTCGATAGGATACAAATTGTATCGCAGTTCGGCTGTACTCACTTGCGTTTCACACCCTACTCTATGTATTTAGATGTTTGTAACTCAATAAATACTTATTCTAAAGTTATTATACACTCGTTTTTTGAGAACATAAAGAAAATAGCTATTTTAAAATTTTGAAAAATAAAAAAATAATGTATTTATTTTTTCTTATTAAAAACAAATAATAAAATATATAGCTTTAACAATGTCAAAAACTTTTAAAATGATTTAAAAAAAAAAGACTAAAATGAAATAGACAAAATTCAATGTATTGATTAACGTATTATATTAAATAATATAATAATCAAAGTGTATTAAAAACTAATTTTATGAATGTGTTAAAGCTTTCGTGGATTATCGTATTGCTTGAAATGTTTACGGATGTATCCACATTTACTGTTACGAGCTGACGTTTTGGACTCGTTGCAGAGTCAATCTTCGGAGCGATAGTAACAGACTCGCGGTTGTAACAATACTGTCGGCTTAGCATGTTTACAGTATGTTTTTATATCAGTTGATAACTGATAACGTCAGTGTTGTTTATCTAATAAAGATAAACAACACTGACGTTAACGTGAAAACTGAAACTGACAACGTGGATACATCTGTAAACATTTCAAGCAAAACTAATTTTATGTTTTCATTATTACTTCTACGTATTTTCAGGTATTATTGGGTGGTGGGCGGAGACATTGGCTACCAAAAGTAGCGCAAGATCCAGAGCAGCCCACTGATGAAGGCAGACGTCTTGATGGGCGCAATCTCATTGACGACTGGATTAGAGACAAAAAAAAACGAAACATCAAAGCTGAGTATGTATGGAATAAAGGTCAACTGGACAAAATCGTTCCTAAAAACGTGGATCATTTACTCGGTAAATTTATTTTTATACATTACTTTGTAACCCCAAATGACATTTAATGTATAACGCGTAAAATATACTGTACGAATTGATCTGCAAATATTTTTTAAATATAGATAAGGGTTCATTAAAAGTATGAAAAAAATAATTACACGTTTTTCCTATTTAAATAAACTTCTAATTTATTTTAACTGTATCTTTGAATAACGCAAAGAAAGGATTATGATTAATAGCAATGGGCTACACTGTGTCTGAATTAAAGTAAATTTTAATCTTATTAATAATAACTAAATTACCTAAGTTCTATTGGGAAATTGGTTTCACCCACGCGATGCAACTCTAGGGCCCGTAATTATACAACAAAATGAGCCTCAATAACTAAACAAACCTAGGGAAATAAACTAAAAAATATTTATAAATGTAATCTAAATTTGATGAATGGTAGTTATCCGTATCAAAATTAGCGCAATACGGCGCAACCTGAATTGAACAACGCAAGAATAAAATTATTGTTGGACCTACTACGGAGCAAAGCTAAAAAATAGGATAAAAAAAGACAGTAAACAAAAAAAATACGTGTTGAATTTCAAACACAGGTCACACACATCTCTTAACCTTGAATTTTTTATACAACAGGCGATCAAGAATGACAAAACTGGTGGCTTGTGCAGAGGTGTTACCATCTCACTTCAGATATGCCGCCGAACAATTTAAATTTAAAACAAGCGCGTGACCCCAAAAACCATAATTATTTCGTTTTGCATAAGATTATTATTATTATTTTAACTGTAATTATTTATAATTTCATATTTTTCAACTCTTTATTAATATACTCCAACTACATGAAAAATGTTTATAAATCTTAAACATCTTTTGTTGCAAAAAATATTCTCAGTATAAGTTAACACGTCAACATTTATTTTTATTAAGAACATAAGTCTGTAAACACGAAACATCTGGTTCTTTATAGCATTTTAGACAAAATGCAAAAAAAATTAATAAAATTTTTTTATATTTTTACAAAAGTTTACCTGTAAGTAAAAAAGACTAACAAGTAGACTTCTTTGTCATACTAAATAAGATTACGTTTGAACTGCTGAAATTTACATGATAAATAACATCATTATTAATCTTATTAACTGTAAGAGTCGAATATAAGAAAGTATAGAGTAATAAATTTTGGACATAAATAATACATTTAGTTCACTTCAATTGCATAAATCTTGAAATCATTTTTTGAATCCACAATACCGACTAAAGCCATTAATGAGTAAAAACAAACAATTCACCTAGTCTATTTGAAGGCAAAATACTAAAAGCTTACAAATATTTTATTAAGCTCAAATATCTGTTTTCATTAAAATTTATAAGATGAAATAAAAAATTATCTTTTGTACTTTTAGAGAAAACCTGTAAAATTCAAATGAAGTTAATTTTTCGGGATTCTTGTATATATATAAATATACAGGATAACTCTTTTAACATTAGCCAATAGATTTTTCTTAAAACAATTATAATGTTAAGAAAATTACCTTTTATATTTTTCAGTTTATTCCTTATACTTTATAAGAATGCCAAATTGATTATTTTAAAGTAAACTAATATTTAAATAATTTATAAACTAGAAAGTAATCTAGTTTTGACCAAATATTTCGGAAGGTATTACTATTTTAAAATATGAACTTGAAGTGAAACTCGGGTATGATAATATTTATTTCGAGGTCGCACCCCTCCATCCATCTTAATATAAAAATGTTAATAATTTTCTTAGTACTAGTCCATAAGTAATTATAGATCAATCATTTTCATTTTTGTTAACTAGTTAAGTATTAATTTTTTTATTAAATAAATATTGAAACCCTTATAATGTATCAAGGATGAACTAAAAATATACCTTAAAGTTGACAAATCAAAAAATATATTTTAATTAAAAAAACCAAAAATAACTTTCAAAAAGTAACATTGATTATAAAATGATTGTTTTTAAATAAATTATAAATTATTATTTTAAGAGAAATTGAGTGGCTAATGTTAAAAGAATCATCCTGTATATGTTTAAGCTTTTGGTACAGCCTTATTCCTAAGAGATTCGTTTATCGTTAGTAATAATTTATAAAAAATATTTTTCAAATGATTCGAGAAAAAAGGCTTTTTTTTTTGTTTAATATAAACGTTTCTCTTAAATGAATGGTAAAAATATATAATATTTTAATTGGTTTCATCAATAATTTAAAATATCAAACACAATTTAAGAATATTTACAAAAAGGTTTGACATATTTTTAGTAGTCTTACAAGATCTTTATGCTCAATGCATATTTATTCATGTCGTTACAATTTTTCAATGAGCATTACATAATCTTCATATGGTGTACAAAAAAATACCCAAGAAGAAAATAAATATGCGACAAGTTGAAGTAGATAGGATTTACTTAATTGACATAGAAATAAATAACATTTTACTCATACCTGTCATGTCATTCAATGCATATAGCCTTTAAGCTTTTCTATTTTATAATAGTTACTTTATCATCCGTAAAACATTTAAATATTGTATTCAAAAATTTAGTTCGCAGTAATTTAATCAAACTATTTATTTTTAATACTGAAACATTCTTTTTTTTATAAAAATACTTTTGGTATATAAATATATGAAAACATTAAATAAAAAAGCAGAGTGTATTTTAATAAATTTTACTCGGTGGTATTATCGCAAAACATTAAACAAAAGTCACTTAACCGGCAGTAAAGTAAGCAAAGTGATACTTATAGAACCCTAAAATTTTAAAGTCTCTTAAGGCTTTTTACTAAGCTTTCAATGAAATTTTTCTTAATTTATATATTACTCATAACTTCATTGTAATTATAATAATGATGATGATGTTCTTCTTCTTTTTATTCCTCGCCTTTATCCCAACTTATTGACTTCGGCCACCCTTATCCTAAGCTTCCACTTGACACGATCTCCCACATCATCCACACACATATCAGCAGTCCTTATATCGTATTCAAAAGTACTCCTCCATCTCTATTTTGGTTTACCTCTACCCCTTCTTCCTTCAACATTAATTTCTATATCTGTTCTTACAGCTTCCGATTCCCTTCTCCTCAAACATGATCAAATCATCTAGGTCTATTTTCTTTCACCTTATCCACGATTGACGCTACACCTATACTCCATCTCATATTTTCATTCTTTATCTTATCTTCTCTAGTCAGTCCACTCATCTATTTAATTTATTATAATGACGATGTTATGAGTAAATATTTAATAACCTATTGTTCATCAACTTTATTGAAAACTTTTTTTCAAACTACGTAATTTTAGTGGTTTCTTTATCTATTAGCTTTTGAGTCTTTTTAAGTTATTATATCAAATAATTATTTAAGGCATTATTTTTAAAAATTTGCTTTCATTATCGTGCTTATATTTTACTGAGGTTTCTTAGTATAATTTTTAAATACTGTAATAATAATAACAGTAATTATAAAACCAGAAGTTATTTAATTAAACTTGGTATATCTATTAACTACTAGTAACAGTAATTTTTTACAAGAAATAAATAATTCCATCAATTTTATACATAATATAATGTTCTCTGCCTGAAGAATTTAAAGTAAAAACGAGTAAAACGGTCATTAATTGTTTAATAGGATAGTATTATGATTTGTAAGATATATACATATCTAATTACATTATTATAGTTACTTTGATAATTTTAAACTTTTTGTAGAAATATTATGAGTACGAGTACTTTTTGAAATAGGAATTATTATTTGTATTTTTCATTAGTAATCTTGGACAAAAACTTTTGGAAACGGTTCAAAAACAGACGAAAATTGTGGCAAAACCGGTGTATCGTGACGGTTTGTGGTTGGACAAAAGCCCAAATATCGATTGTTGAAATATTTAATGTTCATGTTAAGAATCGCTGAGTAAAGTAAAATAAAATGCATTTTGTGTAATTCAGGTTTGTTCGCGTATTCTCATATGGATTTTGAAGTTGATAGAGACAAAGGTCAAAATGGTGATCCACCACTTCATGAAATGGCAATTAAAGCCTTGTCTATTCTTCAAAAGAACATCAAAGGATATTTCTTATTTATTGAAAGTAAGTCAAGTAACATAAAATAAATCATTATCATAAACAAGTTATTTGTTTTTACATACAAAAAAATGTGATTCAAATTTCATTAAATTAATAATAATTTTATTACTTATTGGATAATTTTTTCTTATATACACATAATATTGATTTTCTAACTATTGTTTATTAATGGGCAATGGTACTAAATTTGTTAGTAATATTATTTCCCAATATTTAAGCATTGAATATGTTATTCTACCAAAAATCATTTACGTTTTACTTCTCTTGTTTTAGTCTTAAATAAGCAAAATAATAAGTAAGGAATTAAATAACCCACAAAAATCATATCGAAATGATTTATTTTTTATATAAATATATTCCAGATTCTTTGATCTCGTACCTTAAGGCTGACACAAATATATGATGTTTAGTTAAAAAAATTATGAAATCATTATATACAAATCTTTATATAATGAAATTCGCGTGTATAATTAGAAATATTGATAAATTATAAAAATAAAATATTTAGAAAAGTTCTAGAAATTATAGTATAAATGAAGATTAATTTTTAATTAGTTTTTAAACGTGTTTTCCGAATTAAACTTTGTACAAGTAAAAATATAATTGAAATTGAAATTCATAACGTTTCAAAAATTTAAAGAAATTTTATCTAGAATAAATTAATATCTAGAAATTAAAAATATGACTTTGATTGAAATAATATATTATAGCACTAAAATGTTTTTTTGAAATTTAAAAGCATAAATATTTGAGTATTTGGTTTTAATAGTTGAAAAATTATATTATTAATTTACATAATTTTTCTAACAAATTATGTTTCTCATTATTACTACTACTATATAAAATTGTAACACAACTGTTTTATAAACTACAAAGTGTTGATAAGAAGATGTTGTATTTACCATGCTCTGTTATTTTTTTTGACAGTCCATGAAACTCTTTGTTCTCACTAGACAGATTTTGCTAATCTGTACGTAATAAGAACATGCATTTTATCTAAATAAACTATCATCTTCAAAAAATTAAAAACCTTCTCATTTTTAGAAATTTAAAAAAAAATCTTAAAATGTTTTAAATAATAATTTTATTCTCATAACAAATATCATAAATTACTATAAGAACCGTATTTAGTATAATTCCATTACAATTTTAGTAATAATATATAGCATAAAAATACAAATAAATAAATAACAGATTATCAACTTATGTACGAGGATGCTCTTTTTTGGGGGATGTAATATTCACTGAGCACTCTTCTAAAAATTTATTACTGGAACTAATAATTATTCATATTCATTATTTAAGTAACATTGTCTGTAAATTCATAATATAAAATAAATTTCTCATACAAAAATTTTTTGAATAATACATTCCACTTTATTATATATAAATGCAGAAAAATCATTACTATTTTTTTTTTTAATTTGCTATTTATCCATATATTGTAAAAACTTTTTTGGTTATACTAGAAAGACAAGCTTCTCTTATAGGATGTAAAACAATAAACACTAATATGATATAAAATGACATTTTTTCCGGTCTTGGTTGTGTAGAAGGCCAAAAAAGTTTTCAGGAGGAAACAATAAAATTTTACTATTGGTATTTTATTACTCACTACACTTTGTTTGCGTTTATTTTAACAAATAATAATTTCAAAATTTAAACAATATCTTTCGAATTTCTATCTTGAGATGATATATATTATCATTCATTTATACATTTATATATTATAAATCAAATATAAATACTCAAATAAAATATTTTGTTTTAATTTTTATTAATAATTTTTTTAGGCGGGCGTATCGATCATGCTCATCATTATAATAACCCTTACAGAGCTCTAGAGGAAACTCTTATATTAGAATCTACTTTGGAAGCGATCATGGCAAAGGTAGATTTATCTGAAACACTAATTGTCGTCACTGCTGACCATTCACATGTAATGACTTTGGGAGGTCTAGCTACTCCTCGAGGAAGTGATATTTTGGGTAACTTGAAACAAATTATACTATAATTTAGAAATAGAAAAAACAATGACTTACTTATAATATAATTCTGAAGTAAAACTTTAATAAAAACAAGTTAACCATTTTCTTAATAACATTCGAAAATTATTTTATGGATTAAATATAAATATTTTATTGTTTGCTGATGATGCCAAAATATTTACAGTTATCAACTCAATGAGTGATTGTATTAAATTACAGTTAAACATTGAAAAACTATATGATTGGAGTGTTACAAATGAATTACCTCTGAACTTAAGCAAATGTAGAGTTATATCATTTTCCCGTAAAAAAGATCCCATTTTCTTTAACTATAGTTTGTGTAATTCCAGTTTAACTAGGGTTGATTTCATAAGTGATTTGGGAATAATTTTTGAGGATAATCTTTCCTTTACTAGACATATAAATTTGTCAGTCAGTAATGCTTTTAAGAGTTTGGGTTTTCTTAATAGAAATACTAAACATTTTAAAAACATAAATACTTTAAAATTGTTAAATTTTTCTCTTGTCAGATCAAAGCTTGAGTTTGGTTCTTTAGTTTGGTCCCCTAATTATGCTGTTTACATTAATTTATTAGAAAACGTCCAATACAAGTATACGAAATCTATCTGTTTTAAATTGAATATTAGTCTTTCTAGGGATTCATATTATTTACATTCTACTCAGTTAGGTATTTCATCTTGTGAACTTAGAAGAAGAGTTAGTGATCTTATGTTTTTATATGACTTACTAAATGGTTATGTAGATTGCCCAGAGTTACTTTCAATGGTTGGCTTTAGAACTAGTCAAATAAACCTTAGAGTTATTAAACTGTTTCATGTTCCTTTCTGTACCACTAATTATAGCTCAGCATCATATTTTCCTCGAGTCCTATTGTTAGCTAATAAAATTCTAAACATTGTTGATTTTTTCTATATGTCTCGTGATATCTTCAAATTGAATATTTATAATGCATTATCTAATTGTGTATTGTAATTTGTTTATATCTAATTGTTTATTATTAATCTGATAGTATTTAGTTAAAATTGTATTTTTTCATTTAATTTATGTTAAACTAAGAAATTATTGTATTTATTCTATCGCATTATGTTAAAGGGGTTTTTTTTTTTACCCGTTTATAATTTAAAAATAAAAATAAATAAAGAATTAAAAAAGAATTGATCTAAAAATTTTCAATTTAAATGGATAGTTTTGATAAATATTAGTATGACTGTAGTTTTATTTGTTATTCATCTATTATTTGGTTCGTATTTATATTACAATTATTTAGTTTAAAAAATATTATTTCTATAAAAATATATAAAGTTTTTTTAAAAAACTAAAACTTACTTTATATTTACATTTTTAAAATTTGTATTAAATCTATAAAACTCTGATTGTTGTATTATTCATCGCAATAAGGCGTAAGAACTTAGTAATTTAACTTTTCAAATGACCATCATTTTGTTTATTTGTCTTTCAATAAAAAAATATTAGTAAGTATATCATTTTTAGAATAAATATGATTTATAAATACTTTCGGAGAAAAAATATTTTTCCTGTTATATTTAAAACTTACGGCACTTTAAATTATAAAAAGGTATGACATAATTCTACAAAATAGAAAATATAGAAAGGCTAAATTTATTTTACCCTATAAATATTACATATTGACACCATCTGTTCGAGGGTCAAAGTTTTCATCGGAAATACCCCTTTAGTTTTAGGAATGCTCTTAGAAATCTTTTCTATGTATTTTTAAATGCTCTATTGTCAACTTCTTCCCAAATATCTGAAGTGACTATACATAAATTGATAGTAAGGAAAAATATATTTCAACGAAAAAAGTTTATAACTGCTTATTATAAGTATAACATTCTATAAAATTTTTATAATTCTCGCACGTCCAAAATTTATGGTGCACTTTCCTAAACAAGTAATATTAACGAATATAAAAATATTTTCTATAAAATCGAATATATATAGTTTAATTAACTAAGATAAAAAATAACTAATTCCCAATTGAATAGTAAATTTCTTAGACTCACTCTTATTTTTAGAACAATTCGTCGAACTCGTTAATAACATGAATGCACTTATAGTAATGGAAATAATTTTGTGAATCCATAACTCCCCACACCATTGACTAAGACAAGCGGGGGCCAATCCGCCCCTCCAGATGGCAAGGAGTAACTATGACTCCTTTAAAGTAAATAACATAACAAGAACTTTTTTCGGGGTTAGAAAAAAATATGTAAATATATATTTTAAATTATTCAGAATAAATCACCTTATGTATAGGATAAATTGAAAAAGATAAGTAAAAAAATCACAAGTGAACAGAAAAAAAAACGAAAAACTAAAAAGAAAAAGAGTGACAAGAAAAAATACTTTTTAAAAATATTGTTTTTTAATATTATTCTAAAATATCATCACAACCATACAAATAATTCGTATAAATAAACAAATAGGTTAACAGTTAACAAAAATAAATAACTTCGAACACAAAAGTAATAAAATTAATTGGTTTTTTTAAAGAACTGTTCATAATAAAAAAAGTCTCAGTTGAATGAAAATGTAGAAACTTAGAATAAAACAAAAATCCTTAATAAAAAGTTTCATGATAAATTTAATTTTAAGAGGTATTACGTTAAATTAACTTTTTTACTTTTTTTTCATTACACAGGTATCAAAATAATACAGATAAATAAATTTATAGATACAAGCAAGATGTAACTTAAAATTATATTCCAGTATTTTTAAGTTACATCTTAAAATAAATAAAAGCCTATTTATAATTGTAATATAAATAACATAATGATTTTTAAAATTATTTAAAAACTCTATAATCTAATTATCACTTATTATACGATTATTCTTCATGTATATGTATATTATAAAAACAATTGATAACTTTTACATCTAACAAAAAAAAGACATGATTTAATCTTCCGCAAGACTCAAAGTCAGGGATTTTGTAAATTTTTATTCGATTACACTAAAATAATCAAAATTTGTAATAAATAATGTATTTTGTAAGCTTAAAAATATTATGGAGAGTCTATTAAACATGATATAATGTATTTGATTCAAGTACTCGATTATTTAATTTATGTTTAAAGTACCGAACGCTTTACAGTGATTTCAGTGATTGTATTAATTTATTGTACCATTTAAAGTGCTTGTAGTTATCGATAAATTGAAGTTCATTATCAGTTTTGAAAATTTATTCTATTATAAATCAAAACTAATGAGAGTTAATTAATGGTCACATCATTTTAACTTTATTAAATTACCCTACCAATATTAATTGTTCATTAATTATAATAAATGAAGTTTAAAATATATAGGTATAAAAATCATAAACGCATATGCCATACAAATTTGCTAATACAAGAGACAAATTTATATTTTAAGAACTTTTGCATTCTGCTTTAAAACAATTCATAAGTAGTGTTTGCTCATATGCCATGTAGTGATATTATAAATATTTCTTAATCCTAAATTTAATTTTTAATTATAATTTGTAATTATGGACTTCTTTGTTTTTTTTTTATTGTAAAGTTTAATCATAATAGACCGTCCGTTGTGATTATATTTTTTATTTTTCATTGTTGGAGTAAAAATTTTCCCCGTTACACAATCGATATTATTTTTATACTTGGTTATTCTAAGTAATATTTTTGAAAAAAATATAAGCGCAACATATTATTCAATTTCAAGGTTATTCAATTAAATTTGTTCGCATATTATGTCGATAATAATTTAGCTAAAAAATTTTTATTAAATTAATGCAGTATGCCTAAAAAAAATAATATTGAGTTAACAGCCACGTTACTAAAATTAACAAAACAATTAGATGATTTGAATTATTTTCATATTATAATTAAGGGTAAAAAACAAATCTAGATAAAAGTTCTAGAAGTATTATTTATTTCCAATCTAAGAGAAAAAGTTTTATAACTATAATAAATAATTTTTCCAGTATGCTAAAATCTTAAGCTACTCTATACTTTCAACCGTTACGATCAAAACTTTACTGTTATAAAAAAATTTACTTGCCATAAAATATTAAATAAAACTGAAATAACTGTTTGAAAATGATTCTCCTTTATTTTCTTAACATTTTAAATTTAATCACGTGTTTATGTTTGATAATGATTGGTACTTTAAATTATCACATAATATCCAGTTGGATTTTTTTATGTAAAATATAATAATCATAACTTAATAATGAATAAAAATTTAATGATATAAATATTATACTTGCAACAATATCAAATATATATTTAAGAAAAATGTAAAATGAAACCTTATATAAATTCAATACATGATATTTTTAGAAAATCTAGTTAAATAGAATTTTAAAACGCATTGAAAACAGTTTTTGTAGTAAAAGGGCCATCTAGAAGACACCATCCTAAATTTTTAAAACTACCTTGAAAAATTGTATTACTATTCTAAAGCCAAGATAGCATAGTAAAATGATATATTCCTTTAAAATATTATGTATCTGAACATTATATGATCGTTGATAGTAGAAATAAAATACATTATATTGTAGAAAAATAAATGTTGACACTTTACAACAAATGTAGTTGTGTATTATATTTGTGTTAAATTGTACTAGTCAAAAAGACTATCATATTTATCATAATTTTAGTATATCACAATTTTGATATACTGAAATAAACAACTTAGTTTTAATCTAGTACAATTTATTCTGTTGTACTTCCACGTTTTTACTTAGAATTTATACATATTATCATATATATATATATATATATATGATTATATAAGCGTATGCAGATCATTTTCAAAGATTCATGCTAAAGGTGTTTAAACGAGGTAGACGGACTATATCCCCTTTCACCTATTAATTAAAAAATAGTTTTAAAGGAGGAAGAATACATTTACCCATTCCAACCATCTCACCTCTGAACTAAGAGTAATATTTATTATATCATAATGACTATATAATTAAAATTAAATCTTAAATTCAATAAATCAAAGCCAGTATTAAAATATAACAAAATAATTTTCAGGTGCCGATAGCAAATCATCTGATATAGATGGTTTACCTTATAGCACTCTGTTATATGGCAATGGTCCCGGATACAGTTCCGAACATAGATTAGTGCCGATGATGAATGCAACAGAGGCAGAAACACATAATCAGCTGCATAGTGCCGCCGTACCTCGGCAGTGGGCGACACATGGTGGCGAAGACGTTCCAGTGTATGCAATCGGTCCACCTGGTATTACGCAAGCTTTATTTTCGGGTACTTTTGATCAATCATATGTACCACATGCTATTGCCTATGTAGCTTGTTTAGGTGAGTATTCAAAAAGGTGTCAGCAAATAACCAACAATACTGTAGACACACCTTTAAAACATTCACCAGGATCTGTGAAACAAGTAAGAGAAATTACAATATCATAACTTTCATTTATATTTCAGTTTACATATTTGTATTTCAGTTTTCTTCGTCTTTATCCCAACTTATTGACTTTGGCCACCCTTATCTTAACCTTCCACTTGACACGATCTCCCACATCATTCACACACATATCAGCAGTCCTTATATCGTATTCAAAAATACTCCTCCATCTCTATTTTGGTTTACCTCTACCCCTTCTTCCTTCAACATTAATTTCTATATCTGTTCTTACAGCTTCCGATTCTCTTCTCCTCATAACATGACCAAATCATCTAGGTCTATTTTCTTTCACCTTATCCACGATTGACGCTATACCTATACTCCATCTCATATTTTCATTCTTTATCTTATCTTCTCTAGTCATTCCACTCATCCATCTAAGGATTATCATCTCTGCTATACTCATTCTATATTCTATCTCTCATCAACCGCCCAACACTCTGAACTACACATCATAGCTGGTATCACTTATAGAACTTACTTTTCAGCCTCACTGGAATTCTTTTATCGCATAACACACTTAACACACGCATAACTCTCCACTTCAACTGCCCGCACTTAATTCTGTGTCTTATATCATCGTCAATAACACCGCTCTATTGTACAACTAAATACTTAAAACTTTGCACTTCTCCTATGACGTTCTCGCTTATAGTCATTGATCTCCTGATCTCACCTAGCTAGTGTTCTCCTTTATCAAACTCATATTTTGTATACTCTGTTTTACTCCTACTTATTCTTAATCCCTTTTCTTCTAAGAGTTGATATCCACACCTCTAGCCTTTGATTAATTTCCTCCCTATTTTCTCCTATTAATACTATATCATCAGCGAGTAACGTGTATCACGGTACATCTCCTTGAATTTCTATAACAATTTTATCCACCACTATAGAAACAAAGTAAAGGCTTGAAGGAGAATTTTGGTGCACACTTAATAATTTGTTCAAACTTTTTTTTATAAAACTGATTTTACCTAATTTAAATTATTAAAGTCCAACAGTCACTTTGTAACGTATTATATATGAATACAAATAGGCTACAGAAACAATGTCCTCTTTCAAAATCAGCAATCCGCCATTATTAAATTAATTTTCTTCATAAAAAAAATCCTGTAATAGTGATATCTAAATAACGTCGCTTAGATTATTTGTTTGTTTCAACATGAGCTCTTATTTGAGATCACTAAAGTGAAAATACAAAGGCGTGGGATAGCAAAAAAAAAAAGGCAAATCTAATGGATTAACGACCATGTTTCCTTTAACCTCAACTTAAGCTAAATATTTTAGTAATTTATACGCTACAGTTAAGTGGCATTGCGATTGAATTCGCGTGCAAAATCTTTACACTTAATGGTGACGTAAAGTGCTTTAGATATATTCAATATTGTTTGAATATTTTCTTTTATCATTTACAAAATATTTTTGTACATAAGCAGTTTTTTATAATTTCTGGAGTGTAAATTTAAACGTTATTAGTGTCCATAAATTGACCCTTAAAAGAATATTAATGTCATTTATTTAAAAAAAAATTTATTTTTACTTGAAGTTACTTTTTATTGTAAAGTTGATATAAAGCACTTTAATATATATGTAAGGATACCAACAAACCAAAACTGTATTTACACCTATGATTACGAATTTAAATGTCAAAGTTCTAAAAGTATTCTATCCACTATGATTTCTTAAAACTAGTAACAATGAATTCAAGAAAAAAGAGAAATCTTTTGTGTAATCTAACGTACTTATTAAGTTTTATCTGTAGTCTTAGTATTGGTTTTTAAGTTTGTAAAAAAAGTTCTTGATCATTGGTAAGTTATAAGAGATTAACCTTTTGAACTACATATTTTTTTACTGGTTTATAAATAAATACTAACAAAACATCTGTGAATATTTGACAGTTTCTATATGAGTGATATTAATAGCAAGTCCTGATATCACGATAAAAGGGCAATAATTGTTTACTTATCTACAAGGTGATTCGTTTATCATAACCAACTCAATTACTTTTTTATTCACATATATTTCTTGATTTATCAGCTATTAATAATTAATAGCTGATAAATTTTTAAATTTTGACTAATAATAACATTTCAATTGTGTAAGAAATTTATTCTGATGGCATTATTATAAAAAAAGAACCTAATTATTTGACTTGATTTTTTAAATAATCTAAAGTGATGCAACTTCAGTAATTTGCATCAACATTTAAGAATTGTATTCTAACACATAATCATTTCAAATATTCGTCTAAAAATAATACTATTTATTCTACGACGCTGAGAAACAATAAGTTCTTATGAAACTCTATTTTAAAATATACTATAAAAGCATACTCTCTGAATATCTTTGTGTTGATCATAAAAGATGTGTAGCTATTTCAAAAAAGTTTTTAACGAACTGCTCTAAATTATTTTTCATTTTAGTACAAATGACTTGTAAGTTTATCTATACAAAATAAACTTTTGGCATACTGTTTAGTTTACAACACAGTGATATCATATTATTTTTATAATCAAGATTGGTGTATAAGTAAATTCCATTCCAATCAATAATAAAAATTTTATAAGTAATATTTTTCACTTCAACGATATAACATTAATAAATTTCATGTAACTAAAAGCCTACATTAATAATATTTTATTATTATGCAATATAATTGATATGTGTAATGTATAATAATTGTTTTACAGTGTACAAATATTGGTCATACAGTTATATTTATTTCCTATTAATTTATAAGCTTATTATAATTATATTGCATAAATAGTTTTAAACTTTTAAGCAAATAAGATCATGGAATACTACCATAATAATGAAACTTGAAAGCCTATCGAAAATTTTCGCTTGGAAATATGCGTACTATGAATAATGTAGCCCCGGGAAAATTTATGAAGTCAAATATTTGTAAAAAAGTGTTTATGTCATACTTGATTTAAAAAAATTATAGTCTATAACAATATTAAAGTCAGACAACGGCTATATCATGTAACACTATTCTTATTTTATTAAGTTATTCTATCTGGTTCTAATTTATTTATATATTTATTTTGATGATTTTTTTCTTTGTACAAATCTACACTATGTATTTTGTTAATTTATTTTTCTGTACTGTTGGGCACATGAACATATTGATCATGAATGATCAATAAATAAATAAACCAAAAAAATATAGCCGTTTTATTTATTATTCAGATCATTCTACCATTATAACCAAATGATTTTAATCATGTAGTACAAAACTTATTTTTACAAATTTTTGACCTAGACCAGACCCGGGGATTTTAGGAAGGTGAACACCCCAGGGCTTATGAACTTAATAAAGGGACTATCACAAATTTTACTAGCCTGTCACGATTAGTGACACAGTTTTTCAGATTTTTTTGCTCATTACTTTTTTATGTTAGCGATATTTTCCATAGGGTATCTTAAAGTGCTACCCCAAAGGCCATGTAGGTCTTAATCCGGCCCTGAACATGACAGTTTTTCCCAAGTACCATCGATATATGTTACTATTATTACTAAAATAGTAATTTTGACACTCTTATAAAGAATAAATGAAATTAAAGTTCAATTCACTAACAAAATGTATTTCTTATAAGAATTGTAAAATTGCAAAAATTATTGATTATTATAAATATAAATCATTTTTATAGATACAATATCTTTGTATAGATGCATATAAATTTGCCTAAGTTAACTCCCACAGATTCAATATTTTCATAAAAGTTATGCATAGGTAATTTTTCACCAAAATAATTTCAGTTTTTGGAAAATTTTCTTATATCTAGTAAATTAACTTATCTATATCTATTTACTTTTTTTTAATATATGTTGAAAATATTATTACAGAATTTAAAAATAATATGAACCTTAATTCAACTAAAACTTTGTATGGTCAAATTTTAAGTATGGTTAAGGTTTTAATTTTTAATTAATACCGATAGAAATACTAATATTTTACATTTGTTAGGACAAATTTTTTCTATTTCTCACTTATAAGGCATTTTAATTTTTTTTTTTTTGTTTCAATGTAAAGCTGAACGTTTTTAGCTTCAATGCGAAGCTGAGAAGGTATTGGTTTTACTATGATGTGTTTTTTTTTTTT